TTCAGTAAATTATCAATAAAATACTCAGTAAATTCTTAAAAAATTACTTAGTAAATTATTAGTAAATTACTTTGTAAATTACTCAGTAAATTACTCAGTAAATACCCAGTAAATTCTCAATAAATCACTTAGTAAATTCTATGTAAATTCTTAGTAAATTGCTCAGTAAATTTCTAATAAATTCATAGTAAGTTACATTGTGAATTCTGAGTAATTACTCGATAAATTCTCAGCAAATTACTTTTAAAATTCCCAGTAAATTTTCAGTAAATTACTCAGTAAATTGTGAGTAAATTACTCAATAAATTCCTAGTAAATTAGTTAGTAACTTCCCAGAAAAATCGCAAAAAATTGTTTGTAAATTACTCAGAAAATTCTCATTATATTTTTAGTAAATTACTTAGTTAATTACTCAGTAAATTATTCAATAAATTCTTAGTAAATTACTCATTAAAGTTTTAGTAAATTCCAAGAAAATTCCCAGTAAATTACTCCGTAAATTACTCAGCGAATTCTCAAAAAATTACGCAGTAAATTCCTAGTAAATTCTCAGTAAATTACTCAATAAATTCAAAGTAAATTCTCACCAAATTATTCGGTAAATTCCTCGTAAATTACTCAGTAATTTTCAAATAAATTACTTAGTAAATTCAAAGTAAATTACTCAGTAAATTGCCCGTAAATTCTTAGTAAATTCTCAATAATTACTCAATAAATTCTAAGTAAATTCCCAGTAATTTTTCATTAAATTCTCAATAAATTACTCAGTAAATTATCAGTAATTACTCAATAAATTCTATGTAAATTCTCAGTAAATTCTTATTAAATTACTTAGTAAATTTTAAGTAAATTACTCTGTAAATTCCCAGTAAATTCTTTGTAAATTACTCAGTAAATTTTCAGTAAATTACTCAGTACATTACTTACTAAAATCCCAATTAATTCTTAGTAAATTATCAATAAATTACTCAGTAAATTCTCAGTAAATTTTAAATAAATTACTCAGTAAATTCCCAGTAAATTGCAAGTAAATTACTCATTAGATTTCCTGTAAATTCTCAATAAATTACTCAGCAAAATTGCTTAGTAAGTTCCAAGTAATCTCTCTGTAAATTACTCAGTAAATTCCGTGTAAATTTTTGGTAAATTACTTAGTAAATTCCCTTTTAATTATTCAGTAAATTCCCAATAAATTCACATTAAATTACTCAGTAAATTCTCAGTAAATTAAGCTATAAATTCACCGTAAATTCTCAATAAATTACATTATAAATTCTCAATAAATTCTTAATAAATTATTCAGTAAATTCCCATTAAATTATCCAGTAAATTACTCAGTAAATACTTAGTAAATTACTCAGAAAATTCTTAATATATTTCTAGTAAATTCTCAGTAAATTAATCGGTAAATAACTCAATAAATTCTCAGTAAATTCAGTAAATTACTTAGTAAATTCCCTGTATATTGTCAGTAAATTACTCAGTAAATTCACAGTAAATTATTTAGTAAATTCCCAGTAAATTACTCATTAAATCCTAAGTAAATTACTCAATAAATTATGCAGTAAATTATGCAATAAATTCTCTGTAAATTACTTAGTAAATTTCCAATAAACTACTGAGTAAATTACTAAGTAAATTCTCTGTAAATTACTCAGTAAATTTCTAGTAAATTACTTAGTAAATTTCTAGTAAATTACCAGTAAATTCACATTAAATTACTCAGTAAATTTTTAGTACATTACTCTGTAAATTCACAGTAAATTACTCAATAAATTCCCAGTAAATTCTCTGTAAATTACTATGTAAATTCTCACTAAATTTCCATTAAATTGCTGAGTAAACTACTCAGTAAATTTTCAGTAAATTATCAATAAATTCTCAATAAATTACTCGGTAAATTCTTAGTAAACTCTTAGTAAATTCTCAGTAAATTAATTGGTAAATTACAAAGTAAAATTCTCAGTAAATTCCAAGTAAATTCAGTAAATTACTTAGTAAAGTCCCTGTAAATTGTCAGTAAATTACTCAGAAAATTCTCAGAAAATTCCAAGTAAATTCTCGGTAAATTCTGAGTAAATTCAAAGTAATTGTAGGAACCCACATTTTATGTTCCCATCATGTTCATGAGCATTTGTGTGATTATGATTCGTTAAGGTTGCATGTGTGTGTTGTGATTTGTTTCGCTTGAGTTAATGTGATCCATGCCTTGTTTTGAAGCCTTGCGATTTGTCTAAGTGTAGTATGCTTGTCTTGTTCCTTCCTTGATGTGAAACTTAGGTCACGCCTTGCCTGAGTTATACTAGCCGATGTTATTCCAAGCCGAGGTCATCCTTAGTCTAGTGGTAGTATCTTGGAACCCCTTGCTTGACCTCCGTCCTTGCCTTGACCACATTAGCCGAGATGTTACCTTGCACCCAAGTGATCTCGTCCTGGAGTGGTATGACCTAGGCCGAGGTGTGGCGCATCTAGGCCAAGATGTGGCACAGCTTAGTCAAGTGTTGTCCTTCCTAGCCTAGGTCATTGTCACTTTAGTTGCCGAAGTCCTTTGATAGCCGATGTCATTCCTTTGCCGGAGTGTCATTCCGTGTAGCATGTTAGATACGCCCTGTTGTCAGCCGATGTCATTGCCTCGTCAGAAAGCCCATACCGCTTTGCTTGTTGAACACCCTTTCCACCATGCTTTGTCTGGTCTGTCAGCCACCTTTTCAGGTAGAACCCAACCAATCGCCGCCACGTGTCTCAGCAGAGGGTTAACCCCAGAACCGGGTATAGAAAACTATCATTTGGTGTCATAACCTTGTCTTGTAGAGAGAGAAGCTCTAGGAGGAAGAAAGAGTTTTTTAGAGTGAGGAAGTAGATCCTCAAGCTTGATTCCTAGAGATCCGACCGTTAGATCCGCGTTCTAAGGTTAGATTCTTGATCTACTCGTAATGTTCTTTATGTTTATGTTATTGCATTGCATGATTGAAAATGATTTGTAAGCCATGCATCGTTTTGAAGCTCGATTTTAGAAAGAGAAAAATGACATTCATGTGTTCTTCAAGAAAGTCTTGATTTGATCCGAAAGCTTTATGCCTAGATTCACGTTTTGTGTTTGTTCTTGCATGATTTCCAAGTACGGGTTCCCAGGTCCATGTTTTCAAACTCATAACATGGAAATCCTTGATTTGTGATGTCAGATTATGATTGAGCATTCATATTTTTTCATGTTTTCACACCCATGTTCTTCATGTTCATCAGCAGAGGGGAACCCAGAGTTTCCCGACCTCTTTCCTTGCATGAGGCCTTGGGAACACACCTCGGCGAGGAGGTGTGGAACCTCGCCTAGACCTGGTTGGTGCCCAGCATGTTTTCCGAAACCATTTGTGTACATACGAAACTTGTTGAAGGTGCATTCAATAGGCTTTGCCTGTGTTTGTAGGACTTGGACTTGTCTCGACCCGACGTGTGAAGAAACTATGTGAGTGGTATTTCTATAAAGCTATGTTACACTCGTTTTGATAAATCTTGTTTTGCCTTGTCTTGAAAAGTATTTGATTTAGCATTAATGACTATTCCTAATTGCATATCAAGCACTATCTTGTTTTTGATGACATTTCTTGAAAGTCCTTAGCTGCAGGGGACTATAATGCAACTGCACTCTTGTCTTGACAGTCTTAGTGCTAGAGGACTCTAAACTTTCGCAGCACAGCTTGTGTTGACAGTCCTTAGTGCTAGAGGACTCTAAACTTTCGCAGCACAGCTTGTCTTGACAGTCCTTAGTGCTAGAGGACTCTAAACTTTCGCAGCACAGCTTGTCTTGAAAGTCCTTAGTTGCAGGGGACTATAATGCAACTGCACTCATGTCTTGGAATTGTCATCACCCTCTTGTATTAAGTAGATGTAATAACATCCAAAGAACTTGAAAGGCCGGCAATGAACTTGATTTCCCTCTTGATTGTAAAGTATGCTATGTATGGTTTTGAAAGAAATCTTGGATATCAATCATGCAAAACTTTATTTCTAATATCATTCATGAGTATCCAAGCTCACCCTCTCTATATATATGTAGGTGATATGAACAAGAAGGCATTGAGGCCTAGACGTGACCTGCCGATGTATTTTTGGGTGCATTGCCGACATGTTTTGGATTAGCATTTTTGTGCCATCTTGAGATCATGCTTCTCGGCTTATTTTTCATTTGTACTTGTATATGTCGGCTTGAGAAGCCTTTTGGTCAGGATGTGTTTTGTATCTCATTTCCTTATTGTATTTAAGTTGTAAGACTTTATAAAGATGTATGTCATTTCATTTGACCTATGCACTGCTCTTATGGACCACTTGTAGCTTGAATTATTGCTTCCGCATTTGTGAGCCCCCTATATAAATACTCTGATTGTGTGTGAATCTTGTAAGTCGGCCTTCGATAATCTCGGATTACTGGCCATCACGGCACCAAACTACTAGGGGCGGTTTGGGGGCGTGACAGAATGGTATCAGAGCACAAGTTCCTTATAATACGTTCTTCACACACCTTGAGTCCTAAAGAGCATAGGATTTTCCTTAGAATGATGTTAGGATTGCATCATATTGCTTGCTACTTGACTACGTGTGCATCACTTCGGCATGGACATTTGTTACTTGTATACATACTATCTGTTTAGTTATTTTAAAGTCTCATCTTGCATCATCCTAGCATCATGAGGAGAGGTAGACCTCCAGTTGACCGAGATCGTTCAGAAGATAGATTGGAGAGATTGGAAAGGTTAGTTGAAGGCTTGGTTCGTGAGCTGAGACAACCGAGGCCACAGGATACTGGTACCACCTCTACCCAGGCCGAGCAGACCAATGGCCGATATGCAGCTCCGCCTCCACCCCCTTCAGTACCACAAGTGCCTCCGCAGCAAGCTTTATATGGGAACGACACGATAACCCTGATCAGAGAGTTCAAGAAAATGAAACCGCCAAGATTCCAAGGGGGCATAGAACCAATGAAAGCCGAGGCGTGGGTTTTAGAAATGGAGAAGCTGTTTGAAATTTTCCCCAGTACAGACGCTCAGAAGGTATCTCTGGCAGCGTTCACGTTAGACGACGACGCCCGCAGGTGGTGGATGATGGTTCGAGGAAGTAATCCGGGTTTGACTTGGGCCAGATTCCTGGAGTTATTCTACAACAAACATTTTCCCCTCAGCGTCCGAGACCGAAAGACCACGGAGTTCCAGAATCTGACACAGGGGAACAAGACAGTGGCAGAGTATGATCGTGCCTTTACCGAATTAGCGAGATATGCGCCCCATATGGTTGACGACGAATACCGAAAAGCGAGAAAGTTCGAAGGTGGGTTACGTGGACCGATACAAGACCGGGTCAACATGCTCAACATGCCGACATACGCTGGAGTACTAGACAAGGCTATCTTAGCTGAAGCTAACTTGAACCGATACCAGAGTTCAAGTGAGGGCCAGAGGAAGAGACAGAATTATGACAATCGCCGAGTTCCGTTTAAAGCCAAGAAGAAGGTGAATGTGGACAGTTCCAGTAACCCAAATCAGGATGGGAATGCTAAGCCGTTGTGTACGAGTTGTGGGAAGCTACATTTTGGGGTCTGCCGTTGGGCGACAGGGGCTTGCTATGAGTGTGGCGAGATAGGCCATCGCGTGAAAGACTGCCCGAAAGCAAGGACCGGTGATGGGAAGAGGAATGGAAGCACCTCGGGCTCTGCACAGAAGAATAACATCGGGGGAGTACAGGCGAGGCAGGGCAGAGTTTTCGCATTGGTGCCAGGAGACGCCCAGAATGCTGAAGCAGTGGTGTCAGGTACCATTTCAATTTGTTCTCAAGATGCATACGTATTGATTGATTCGGGTTCTACGCATTCATTTGTATCTACCCTATTCACCGAGAAGTTGAATAAAGAATTAGCACCCCTTGATTACGTATTGTCTGTGTCTATTCCATCTGGGAGAAACATGATTATTGCATCCATTTATAGGGCGTGTGTTGTTATGATTGAGGGTGTAGAGTTGTTAGTCGATTTGATGCCTTTGAACATGACCCATTTCGATGTCATATTGGGAATGGATTGGTTAGTAGCGAACCATGCATCCATTAATTGTGTTACTAAGAGCGTCACATTGAAGACCCCAAACCAAGCCGAGGTCAATTTCCCAGGGAAAGGAGTAGTACCCCCACCTTACTTAATTTCATCCATGAAGGCCTACAAGTTGATCCAAAAAGGATGTAAGGGTTATTTATGCAGTATACTAAGTGATTTGAATGGAAATGTTGAGTTAGCCGACATACCCGTTGTGAGGAATTTCCCGATGTCTTTCCGAGTGAGTTGCCTGGCCACTTGTCGATAGGGAAATAGAGTTTACTGTGGACA